GGCATGGTGTCTCCTCTTAACTCTTCTTTAAAGCTGATTTTCTTAGGCCAGTCTCTGTAGTGGGTTGTTGGATTTCTCTGCTGAAAGTGAATGGATGTATGGTATATAACAGTTCACCAAAGCTCTGGTGGCAGAGTTTTCACAAGATGAAGCAACGAATAGATGCGAGCTCACAGCCCTGTGGGTTTTCCTTCATATTCTATTGTTTGATGCCTCCGTGTAGCCAGGAAAGAAGCTGAAGGCTGGGCTGTTTGCTTTTAAGTTCAGAGGAGTCCAATTAAGGGTCAGCTCTGTTCCCGTAAACCACGGTGCCAAGACCTTTTTGAAGAACTTTGAAGAATGAAAGCATATTGCTTACTGCTATTAGGAAATCTTTTTTGAAAAATAAATAAATAAAAGGCCAAATAATTCTTTGATCTCCCTAACTACATGGCATAGAGTTTGTGATAGGGAGCTTGAAAGTGGTATTAGATTGTCTTCAATTGGTATGTTCTTGGTACTTGTCTGTTTTCCAAAACAGAGGTTTTAACCTCAAGACTTCAGCTGATGTCAGTTGGGCCGAAGTTTCTAAGTCGCCCACGTACACCACTAAAACCATTACCGTGAACTGAGTCCAGGACAGCTGGGTAGCAAGTTGAGTGGTTTTCAAGTAGGTACTCGAGTGTGTTAAGCAGACATGCATGCAAACTGTTTGTGTCTCAGACTTGTGGCCATGTTATAAAGTATGTTGAAACTTCAGCTGGGTTGTGGCTTTGGGGACATGTGTGTCAGTTAACTAGAACAGTGGATTGTGTGAAAAGTTGTTTACCAGAAGTACATTTTAAAAATACTACTTCTGCTTCTATGGTATGTCAATTGGAGTTGTCCTTTAAATCTCAAACACTGGTCTGAGAACTTAAATATTCCTAAAATCTATTAAAAGTAATTGCACCATTCCCACTATTTAATTCTCTATAGGGTGATGAAACTGTGGGTTTTGTGAATTGCCTGTTCATAATCTTCATATCGTTTTTCTATTTTATTCTTTGTCTTTCTGTTTTATGATGAGTTTTACACATTTTGAAGATAAGGTTGTTAGGTGTGGCACTCCCTTTTAATTCCATTTCGAAATCTGTGGTTTCTTTGGCTGTGATACGAATTCATTAGTTTTCCCCATATTTTTTTCACCCATGTTTCAAAGTATTATTTTGTGTCAGTAAAATGGTATGAAGAAGAGGTTCTCTTACGATACTTAGGCAAGGCACAGAGGGCAAGGAAGAATGGGATTAAAAACAATGGGCTTCCCTGGTGGCTCAGAGGATAAAGCGTCTGCCTGCAATGCGGGAGACCCGGGTTTGATCCCTGGGTTGGGAAAATCCCCTGGAGAAGGAAATGGCAATCCACTCCAGTATTCTTGCCTGGAGAATCCCATGGACAGAGGAGCCTGGCGGGCTGCAGTCCATGGGGTCGCAAACAGTCAGACATGACTGAGCGACTTCACTTCACTTCATGTGAAAGACAAAGAAAAAAGGTAGGAAGGGGAGCTGAGAAGCCTGTGCGTGAGGACATGTGGGGTCAGCAGGACTGCACCATGGTCTCAGGTGTCTGTGGAGCAAGGGAGGGGAGACTGTCACGGTACAGTACCATGATGGAGGCAGGCATGGGATACCAGAAGCTCAGAGACCACTGGGGGTCTGCTTCCCTGGGAGAGTCAGAGAAGACTTCAGAGAGCTGAGTCCTGCCAACCCAGTCAGGGAAGGAAGAGTGAGCAAGGGACACAGTTGCAGGAAAGAGTTTGTTCAGAGCTCAGAGGTGTGGCTGAGGGGCTAGAAGTGTACACACACATAGATGGGCTTAAGCTAAGTAAGGAGTGTGGCACAGATGGTAAAGAATCTGCCTGAAGTGCAGGAGACCCAGGTTCGATCCCTGAGTCGAGACGATCCCTGGAGAAGGGCATGGCCACCCACTCCAGTCTTCTTGCCTGGAGAACTCTGTAGACAGAGGCGCCTGGTGGGCTACAGTCCATGGGGTTGCAGAGTTGGAAGAGTCACTTTCTGAGAGTCTTGGAGTCTCATTTTCTGAGAGGTAAGTGGGAAAAAGTTTTGAGTATAAGTCAGTTTTGAATATTAGTAGGACAAATTCGGTCCGGCCCACCTGTTTCCTGTTTGACCCTTTGTGGAAGGCCTTTGGCTCGTGGGGCTTAAAGCCTTTGATGAAAGTTCACCAGAGTCTAGATCTGTAATGTGAGTTTCATTGCATGATGTATAGTAGGGTACAAAGGCATTGGAGTCTCAGGAGTTATTTGGATTTCTGTTTGCCAATTCTTCTCTTTTCTGGGAGCAGTATGATGATTTCTTAGTCAAAATGTATCCTTATTTCCAAGTAGCAGAGAACTTGACAATTTAACAAGGGCTAGAGTATTCCAATTCTTGAGAAAAGTATCCTCAAAATGTTTCCTTTTCGCTGATTAGAATGAGTCACTCCCCAGGGGGGCTCTCTGCAAAGGCTCCCTTGTGCCCAGAAAGGGATGTTGCTGAGAATTCTGCCCTGGCATTAATATTTAGGGATGTATAACCCTTTCATAACTGCTGACCTCTGGAGCAACTTCATGACTTAACGTGGAAGTGTGCATAATCACCAGCAGTGGAAGCTGCCAGAAGCACAGCATCCATGCGGCTCCTTGCAGTGTCATCCTGGAGGAGAGGACGCTGGAAGCAAGAGTGGACTTCTGAGAACCCTCCAGGTTGCTTCCTCTTGTTGATTCCCTGAGTAAACCTTTCCCAGAGAGGCTCCCCTCATGCTGACATTGGGAAATGAAATTCAGGGTCTCTTCTAGTTGATGAGCATCAGAAAAATGACTGGAGAGTCAATTTCTCATGGGGTGGAGCTAGAAGAGGTTACTCAACAGAAAGCTCAGTAGGCCTGAGAGTTAAAGGCCCAGGATAAAGCTTCACCCCATCCCACTTCCAAGCTAGTTCCTGCTCTGGACCATCCTGTTGACCAAAGCGGAGTTGCTCCAGGTGGCCTCTTTCGTGGGGGTCGTATCTGCCGTGATTCCTCCGTGTGAACTGCCCCAACCAGGCCCTGAAAGATGGCTGTGTCCTAGTGACGATTCAGATGACTGAAGAAGTTGAAAACTCTTCTGCAGCATGAGCCTTGTAGAACATTTTAAAGTAATTTACCTTGAAAAATCATCTCTTTCAAGATATGCAGCATAAGGAGTCTTACAGAAGCACAGAGAAAGGGAATTGGGAGGGCAAATGCAGGCCTTTCACTTTGGAGATCTGAGGAAATGGAGGCCTATGGAGGAGGAACCGGCCTAGAGTCACAGTGAGTAACTTGGGGAGCCAGGACCTGAAACACACTTAGTGTGACAGCTGTGCCTCTAGCGCTCCTTTTACTGTTAGAAGTGTGTGTTTGACCTGCTGGAATCAAGGCTGTGACAGGGCACTTGGCTTTTGTATAAAATAAGCATAAAGGCTAAAACGGACATTGGAATAGGCGGCATGAGCAGGCACTGTGCTAGGGAGACTTAATTAAAGTTTCAGCAGGAGATGGAGAGGCCCTGCCCTGGAGGAACACTCGGTGAAGGAGAAAATGTTAGTCGCTCAGTGGTGTCCGACTCTTTGTGACCCTGTGGACCATAGCCCACCAGGCTCCTCTGTCCGTGGGAGTCTCCAAGCAAGAATACTAGAGTGGGTTGCCACTCCCTTCTCCAGGGGATCTTCCCAGCCCAGAGAGTGAACCTGGGTCTCCTGCACTGCAGGCAGGCTCTTTCCTCGGTGGAGGAGAAAATCACAGGACCATCCAATACACTGTGACTGGTGGTGTGAGGAAAGAGGCCTGTGGGCCTGGCAGATGCTGCAGAGGAACGGAGAAGGCCCGGGGGTCTAGGATTCTGGCCTTTTCCACACTCACACCTCAGAACCCGGACATGTAAGTCAGGAGAGCGTCCTGCCCTTGCTTCACGGGTGACCATTCAAGGACTTGCAGGCCTTCCTGAGTCAGAATGGAAGCGTTGCCTAAGGGCAGTGTCTGTTGATTTTCTCAGGGAGCCTTTCCCTGGGGAGGCTTTCGCCATGGAATCCCCGCAGACAGATCTCTTACTTGCTTTAATTCCCCTCCAGCCTCTTGGCCCAGCTCAGTATGACTTCATAGCAGCAGTGCAAGCTGATGCTGGCCCTCTTGAGGCCCTGAGGACTGGGTTTTTTCTGTCAGCAGCCCTTGTGGGTCTAGGAGTTGAGATAAAAATCATGTCCTCAGCAGATCGTGGGTGCTGCTTCATCTTTCAGGAAGTCTCCCACTTTCTCTTGAGTCAGGGCTCCTGGAGGTGCTGAGGGGTGGTTCTGATGTTTCTTCTGCAACTTTTGACCTGGAGTGTTGCACAAAGTTCAAGGTGGATAGGAGTCAAAGTCAAAAGGACACAAACAGGTGGATTTTCAGATTCACACTCCGCCGGTGACACAGTTGTACAGATTTCAAAGCCCCTGTGATGGGGTGCATTTACTGATCATTTGTGGTTGTTCTTACATGTTTATGTTAATGTCTGTGTGTGTGTGCGTGGGCATGCACGCATGCGCAGTCGTGACCGACTCTGCAACACCACGGACTGTAGCCCACCAGGCTCCTCTGTCCATGGGATTTCCCAGGCAAGAACACTGGAGTGGGTTGCCATTTCCTCCTCCAGATGTACAAATACAGATCCGTACCACTTACGTATTATTTGTGACACAGACTCACATGTCGACAGCAGACACTTTCACTTTTAGTTTTGGTGGCCTCTCAGCTTCCTGCCCGAGAAGCGCCAGGTTTGTCATTTATCTGCTCTTGTTTCTCCTCCTCCTGATGATGTCACATGCCTGCTTCCTGGAAGAGGGCTGCAGTCTGTAATCCCGGGTAGTCACACCCTGACATGTGAGTGGCTTCTCCGGTGGTCCATAGGCCTCCGTGGCAGTGAAAATCCGTGTGGACCTGTAGTCACTGTGTGTTTAATGTCACCTGGCGTTCTGCTCTCTTTTCAGATTGTGGCGCCTTGGTCCACAAAGGCTGCAGAGAAAGTCTGAGCTCCTGTGCAAAGGTCAAAATGAAGGTAAGACATTTCTGCCTGAACCAATGAAATCCTCAGAGTTGGGAGACTCGGGGTTAGAGTTTCTGTTTGTCTTTTCATCATCTGGTACCTCCTTTGAGACTGCAGTAACCCAAAACGTTTCATCTCTTCTTGACACACTCGGGAATTTGTGACTTTCGGAAGATAAAATGCTTTCAGAACTTGTCCACATTAGACACACATTTCGCTGTGATTGTCGTCTGTCACCAGTGCAATGACTTTCTTCTTAACCATGTCTGCAGACCTGCCCTGCTCTGCACACTCCTGCCTTCCTCCTTGGGGACCCCGAGGGCAGCAGGTGGAAATCAGGGGTTCTGACGTGCTGACAGCCTGGGGAGGGCAGGGTTTTGAGCCAGCCTGCCCGGCATCCCTTTTCTCCACAGGTCTATATAGATCACACAACAAGAAGAGGAGTGGATGGTCGTCCACGCTCCGAGTGTGCACGTCACATAATAACACCCAGTGCATGTCAGAGGCCCTTGTAGAGTACGAGGCTGGGGGCAGACGGGCGTTTAGGTAGCCCGTGTGGTTTTTCAGTGTTTCAGTCACTCATAACTGTCTTTGTTCTTGTCAGATGAGTGCTCTCCAACACCATCTACACGCACGCTCAGCGTGCTGTTTGCTTCCAGTAACCAAACACGTTTATCTAGTGAAGTGGCCTCAGACTTGAGATTCATCTCAGGGGCTTGTTATAAAACGACACTGGGCCAGTGACCCACTCCCAGAATTTCTGATTCTGGGTGGGTGAGGCCAAGGAGTTTATCTTTCTAATAACTTCCCAAAAGATGTTGATGCTGCTGGTCCGAGGACTGCACTTTGAGAAGCACTAACTAGTGTAAAGACGACAGGCTTCTGTACCCTGGGTCTTATTCAGCCCATGGACATAAATTTTGTCCAAGGGCTGGATTTTTCTCTTTTTCTACAGTATTTATCACCTTCTTGGGGCTTCCCTGGTGGCTCAGATGGTAAAGAAGTGGCCTGTAGTGTAGGAGACCTGGGTTCAATCCCTGGGTCAGGAAGATCCCCTGGAGAAGGTAATGCCAACCCACTCCAGTATTCTTGCCTGGAGAACTCCATGGACAGAAGAGCCTGGCAGGCTATAGTCCATGGGGTCGTCAAGAGTCAGACACGACTGAGTGACTAATGCAAAATATCACCTTCTTAGGGTCTGTGTATTTATTATATTTACTTTCTGTGGTCTGTACCTTCCCCCCACTAGAATGTATGTAAGCATCAAACTTGCCAGGCAGTCTGAAGTCAGGAGCGTTTGATCCGTTGGCAGCTCCTAAGCCCATAGAACAGAGTCTGGGCTGTGGGTCCTTAGATGCTGGAGGCGAATGGAGGTGACGGCCCACTGGGCTGAGTGGCTGCCGCCTCCTCCGGACAAGATGCGCAGGCCCAGGCTGCTGCCTGCCACCGCCTCCAGCTTGCCTCTGTTCTTGTCACCTGCCTGACCCCTGGGCCTTTGAATTTGTGACTCTGGTACGAGTGTCGTCATTGTGACTGTGCCAGAGAAGGACAGCAGCAGGGACATCGCCTGCCTTGTGTGACAGTGTCATCCAAGAGGGGGAGTCCCATTCTCAACAGATAAACCATTCCACTAATGGTTTATCTCCGACGAATCGCTTCAACCCGGAGTTTTCCCACACGTTGTCTCTGTTCCACGCCACGAAAAGTCTTAAAATTAGCACTTTCCCTAAGAATTATTTAACACCTTATACATAAATGCTGGTCACCGGAGAGATGGAAATGGAAAGGGCACAGATGCTGCTTGTAAGGAACCAGCGTTGTGGTGGGGACAATGGACCAGCAGACAGTGACCATAAATAAGGAAAGAACTAGCCGGGGCAGGGGGAGGGGGCGTACGCACAGCATTCTGAGGGGTACGCACAGCATTCTGAGGGGTGCCAGTCACTGCCTCACGGGAGGAGAAGACGGAAGCTCACGGTGGCTCTGCCCCTGAGGTCTGACCTTGAAACAGGAGACTGCCTGGCCTGTGAAGGGAGAGGAGCGTTCCAAGCAGAGGAGACGGCTCTCGCAGAATTGCAGGCTGGGCGGGCTCAGGGCGACGGCAAGCATGGGTGGCCGTGTCTGAGAGTAGGACCCTGAGGGCCATTGGCAGGAACAGGGGAGCGGCTGGCTTTTTGTTCTAGGCTTCTTGAGACTTGACAGAGATAAGTTGTAAAATTCATCAAAACTTGTGAAATTTATCGAAATCTCTTTTTCTTACAGCAACCCAAAGGGAACATGCAGGCACACGACACATCCTCGCTGCCCACAGTTATCATGAGAAGCAAGTGTGAGTAGTCCACCCGCCCCTCATGGCCCCCTTGGCCTCTCTGGTTCGGACTTACACACACTTCTGTCGTGTCTGTCTGTTATTCTTAATCACAGTTGGAATACCTATTTTGTGGTAACTTAGAGAAGGCTGCAGTTTCGTTGACCAAAAACTTGGCAGTCCACCATCAAACTCCCTGGAAGGTCTTAGAATTGTGTGTGTGTGTGTGTGTGGGCCTACAAGGCTGCTCTTGAGCCTTGTTTATTTGAGCGAGTGACCCCCATGTTTTTTGAAACTCCTTTTCCATGAGTCAGCAGTGAAACTTGCTTTTAGTGCTCTCAACATCAAATGAGATCTTGCTTATTAAACTCCTTGACAGACTGCGAAATTATATAGTTTGGGAGTGGTTTTTTTTTCTTTTTTTTTCAAGGTCTTCAAGAGGTACATAGATTGAGCTCGTCACACTTTGTCACATCAGCCTGTCTTCTCCATCTGTGCAAAGCTCCACTTTGGTTTTGCTGAATGTTTTCCCATTTTCATTCTCCATCTCACTCCTTTCCCCTCATTAGTACACACTGTGGTATATTTAATGCAGACCTCTCTAATTTGCCGTATCTTCAGACATATGTGTACTTCTGAAAATATCTCTTACTGTTTTGTGTGTTGAATTTAAATTAGACAGTATGACTTATCCATTCTGCTGCTGCTTTTCCCCTCAATATGGTTTTGAGATCTGCGTGTGATATTATATGAAAGCTATCATCTCAAATTGCTGCGTGGTATTCTTTCAGAAACATATACCACATTTTAATTACCAGTTCCCCCCAAGACTTGAGTTGCCTCCGCCCGCTGCCATAAATAACGCAGTAATGAATACCACATTAATTAGCTCATGGAACCCAGTTGAGACTCGCCCCCAGGCTGTGTTTTTCAAGGCCTATTTCCTGGATCAATTACAAGTGCCAGTTTTGGGCCCTGCCCAGACCTACGACATCAGAGAGTCCAGGGGTGGAGCTGGGTGCCCTGTTTGGTAGACGCTCCAGGTGATGGTGATGTCCATGCTTGAGTGTGAGAGCCACTGCCCCATGCCTGACTATTCTGAGCACTTCCAGATGGCTCGGAACGGCCACTCAGGCTGTGCTGCCAGTGAGGGTGTGGAGTCCTGTCAGACGGAAGTCTCGTTATTACCCATCTTTGCATGTAAATTCCTAGAGGAAAAGTTATGCCATACTGTCACCCACTGTAACCAGTGATCCAACCCATCCCAACACCTTTTACAAGCCCACTCTTACTTAAATTTTTTTTCTTGAGTCTATGACATTTATCTCTTCTTTCAGAAATCTGCTTTCTTTCAAATCAGATACAAGCAGTCTTCCCCAAAGCTTCCTATGATAGTACCTCCAACCCCCATGTGTGTTCTCATTCCCCTGTTACCCACCAAAGTAAGGTAGCAGTAAGAGTCCAGGTGGTGGACTCAGATTGTGTGGGTGTGAGTCCTAGCACCCCACTTAACAAAATACTGGCCAAAGACGTATTAATGCGTCTTTCGTTACCTGAACATTATTGACTGGAGACTTTATTGGTATCCACCTACCTAACAAATTGCCAGCCACAAACGTTAGTTTCTGCAAAAATCCTCTAGTTAATAATGTGTTAGCAGCTGCATAACCTCAAGACGAACATTTACGGCTCCTCCCACCCCCCCATTCCTCGTGTTCCTCCTCCGTGGAAGGATGTAGTGGTACCATCAGGTGATCATTGGGTTTAAGTGAGGTGACGCCCATGAAGCTGTTGGTGCTGGGCCTGCCTCAGTGTGAACGTTCCCGCTGCCGTCGGCTTCACGGGCACAGATGCCGGGCTCAGAGACAGTGAGCAGCTTCCTTGAGCGGGGATAGACTGGTTTCCAGCATTCCCAGAGCTCTCTCTCTCACCTCCCCCCACACCCACGCCGCCCTTAGATGCAAGTTGCTCTTGATAATCGTGAAGGCTCTGCGTGACCTGACTTGGTTCTGTTTCTCCAGCCATTGCCCCGATCCTGCATGTCCTCGCCCGGCCTGCCTCCTCATCTGCTTGTCATCTCCATTTCACGGTGGCACTGCGTGAGCATTTCTGCCTCCTTCAGACAGTCCTCCTCCTCAGAATGTCCTCTTTGCCTGTCTGCCTGGCCACGTCCTCACTTCAGGGACTTCCCCATTCAAGGACTGATGTTTCTCCCTCCACCTGATTTTTTTTTTTAATAATTTTGTTTATTTATTTTTGGCTCTGCTGGGTCTTGGTTCCTGCATGGGCTTTTCTCTACTTGCGGGAAGCAGGGGCGGCTCTCTAGTTGCGGTGCACAGGCTTCTCGTGCGGAGGCTTTTCTTGTTGTGGAGCACAGGCTCTCGAGCACAAGTTGCGGCACTCGGGCTTAGCTGTCCTGCAGCATGTGGGATCTTCCTGGACCAGGGATCAAACCTGTGTCTCCTGCAGTTGGCAGGCAGATCTGTACCACTGAGCCGCCAGGGCACTGCTCCTGCATCATATTTTATCTGCTCACCAGCTTCCTTCGGAGGCCCTGCAGTGTACCCCAGCTCCCGCACACTAGAGCCTGTTCGCCTCTCTGCCTCTTGCCCTGCTTCCCTATTGGGCAAGGCCCCCCATCTCCTGGTGTTCTGCATATTTCCCGCAAGAAGGGTCTGGTCATGCCCCCGTGCAGCAGGTTTCTGCTGATTGCATCACCTTCTTCTGAATAGAATCTGAATGGTTTTATCCATTTTATTAAGTCAGGCACATCCTGTAATACTGTGAAACTGTAACAGCTGCCCCAGTTATTTCCTTCAGCTCCTGACGCTCCTAGGGCTGGACGGATAATGCTGCTCGCATCTGGGACAGCAGCTTCGTTACCACAGAAAAATCATCTGTTACCCAGATGCCAGTGTGACTACTTGACCCAAAATCAGAGCTCCAGTGTCCTCCTCGGGCGTGTGCAATGGCCATGAACTTGGGCACACTCTGGGAGATGGTGAGGGACAGGGAGGCCTGGCATGCTGCAGCCCTTGGGGTCGTAGAGAGTCGGACGCGACTGAGTGACTGAACAGCACAAGAAATACTCAGTTATGAGGACAGATTAGCTGGGTGGCATCGAACACAGGTTGCATTTTCCTCCTCTGTAAATTAGAGGAATTGGTCAAAATCTGTGTTCTCAGACATGTATAGAAGAAATGATTGAGAAGCTGGTAAAAACGTCTTAGACCCCTAAGTCCCACCCACACATGACAGACAGGGCTGGGTATTTGTATAACTCAAAAGCCCCTCACACGAAAAACACTGGACTAGGTCATCTCTGAGGCTGCTTGTGTCCTTAAAATTCTTTCAATCTCCTTTTCTCTTTGAATTAGTTTAAATTTTTAAATATATGTACTTTCAGTGATTCTTTATCCTTACTGCCTCATTTCCATCACACTCCACAGGTAACTCCATTTCTTATGTTTATCTTCTCCAAGTTTCTTTCTTAAAATAAAGCAGCTACCAATTTGGATTATTTATTGCTTTTAAAACACAGCAATGGTCTGTGGCGCATGTTATTCTGCTCCTCGATTTTTTTTCCCCCTTAATGTGTTATCGTGCAGTTTTGTGTCAGTTCATGCAGGGTGTGCTCGTTTTTATTTTACAGCTTCGTAGTATCCACCAGTAGGATATACCATGATTTATTGACTGACCTTACTTTGGTAACTCATTTTGCTTTTACTGAACTTTGCACTGAGTACCTTTGGTCATATACCATTGCAAGTGTAAACAAGTAAGTCTTGTGGAATGAACATGTCCTGAAGGAAACCCCTGGATCAATAGTTTCAATAACTGTTGCCACATTGACGTCCGCAGAGTTTTTGTCTCCAGTTACACCCCCAGGGTGATCTCTTACAGAGCAGTCTGTTCCTGTCTGATACTTGTCGGACGGGTCCGTGCTGGAGGGCCCAAGTCACTGACGCTCCGTGGTGTCCTCTCGTACTCTGCAGCCTCCCAGCCCAAGGAGCGCCCTCGGTCAGCCGTCCTCCTGGCCGATGAAACCACTGCTGCCCCCGTGTTTGCTAACAGACGGTCCCAGCAGAGCACCATGCTTTCCAAAAGCGTCTCCATTCAGAACATCGCTGGGTAAGTGGGGGTGTGGAGACGGCACAGTTGACATCTCGGCGACGAGAGCATCATATACCATTTGACAAAAAGATGCTCTTGGGAAAGAACGTGTAACCTAACGAGTTGGTGCACAGCTGAGTGATGGAGACAGGCAGGGTGAGGATTACATTGGATGCAGCCGTTCTCTAACAAGGATCCCCACTGAACACCATCTCAAGTAAGGTTTTGTCCATGATCAGTCCTGCCTTTAAAGAACCTGCCTTCTAAGAGGATGATTTTTAGGTCAAAATAAGAAGTAGAAATAGGAAAGGAAAAAAAAAGTGATTTAATGCTGAATGTTGGGCTGCAACCACTTATATTTTTAGATGTCATACTTTTCCATTGGTCAGATGAACGTGGGAGGAGAGGGTAGTTTTGTTTTACCTTCTTTTTTATTCTGTTCTCCATCCTTGCGTCTTGCCTCTCCAGTCACGGGAGTGAGTAACGGGCCGAGAATGACAGTAGGCTCCCAGCCCCTCCTCTGCCCTGAGCTCCTCTGTGGTCCTGTGGGAGCTGCCGTGGCCCCTGGCTGTGGGTGATTGTGATGTGGCTGGCTGTTGGGGGTCAGGTGCCTGCCTTCCCACCAAGTAAAGAAGTCACCTCAAATGTAGGGCTCAAAGTGTCCCTGGCAGCTCTCCTCACCCAGGCTGGAGGAAGATTCCCAGCTGAAGGATGCAAATCTCCTTTTGTCTGTGTGTCCTCACCTCTGTGCTGGATAACACTTCCTCCTCCTTAAAAAAAAAGAAGAAAAAAAACTACAAGTATTTTTATATCATCTGCCTCAGTGGTGTGATTATATTCTTTTCAGAGTTGTTGAGTTAATCTCAGTTGGTTTATATTATGACTTTTAAAAGTTGGCCTTTAAACACAGTTTAGTTTTAAGTGACTCTGGCTTACCTCTGTGCCATACCACAAACATAGCGGGTGCCTGATGTGCTAGCTGGGATCGAGAAAAGTCCAGAGAATATGGTTTAGCGTTAAGTGATGGCTCTTTAGGTGTTTAGGGAACACAAGGGAAAGGTGTTGTGGTTAGACACGAGTTTCAAACAGAAATTTCATTTGTAATGTGTACGCAGTTTGAAAGAAGAGCATTCTTCTTGTTACTTACGGTTTAAAATAAAACTGCAAGGTTCAAGAAGTTCACGGTTGCAGTGAACTTAAAGTGAATTTAAAAGCCTCTGACCCCCTTCATAGTTCATGTTGCACGTTGGCAGGAACCTGACATAAGTAATTTGCCTTCGACATTGTCATTTTATAGTTTTTCAAATCTCCACAAACCATGGCTTCTCAGAATACACCTGAAAGTATGTGTTTCCTTCTGTCCCTAGAGTTGGCAACGATGAGAACATCTCGAACACCTGGAAGTTCCTGTCCCACTCAACAGACTCGCTGAATAAAATCAGCAAGGTCAACGAGTCCACGGAGTCCCTTACGGATGAGGGTAAGCGGAGGCCACGCCCTGTGTGGCAGGCGTCTGCAGAGACTGCCGTTAGCTGGGATGCAGGCACCGACGAAGCAACGGTGCCTGCCTCCTGGCTCCTGTGACGCTTCTCTGAACTGCCTGTGCAGCGTCAGATGCTTTATAGTGAGCTGCTGAACCTGCCTATCCAGTTGCTGGGTACTCGTCCACTGAAGGACGCCATTGCGTTTAATGTGGTCAGACTCTGCCGCAAACGCTGCTTCTTCCCCTAGACTTGCGTACACATTCAGTTCACAGTTGTAAACCTACTCTCTTAAACAAGGAAAGTCACCAGGACCCTTCTAGCTCCTGCTTCACGAAGTAATCATGTCTTAATCACCTTTAATTTAAGTGACTTTTTCACCCTTAACCAAAGTCTTGAATATAGTATACATCACTCTCGAACAGAAAATGCTCCTTTCTAATAGAATATATATATATTCTGTGAATATCACTGTCTTAGTGCAGAGTGCATAGTCTCATGAAGTTATCACCCCGAGGAATGTCCAGCATAGGTTTTTTTAGAAGTCACTGATGCAGGACTCTGACACCGATTTTTTCTTTTTTTTTTTTTTGAGGAGTAGGTACAGACATGAATGAAGGACAGCTAATGGGAGATTTTGAGACTGAGTCCAAACAGCTGGAAGCAGAGTCTTGGAGTCAGATCGTGGATAGCAGGTTTCTGAAACAACACAAGAAAGATGTCGTCAAGCGGCAAGAAGTGATTTACGGTGAGACGCCTCACGTGCTCTGCTGAGATCTGATTCACGTAGTCTGGTGGGTGGTTTGTTGCACTATGGCAAGTCAGTTTTCAAGTATGTATTATAGCCATCTCCAAGATTTTCTTTAAAATGTTTGAGGTATAGAGACATTAATCTTATTTCTGTCCTTCCCTCTCTCTGTAAAATGATCTTCTTGAATTTTATCAAACATTTTATTGAATATGAGTGCTTATTTATGCAGTATTCTTAGAGATCCCCTATGACAGCACAGTTGAATTCCTCAGCTGCAGTGGAAACTAGACTAAAATACAAGTCCTTTCTGGGAAATGGGAGCACAGTCAGTTATGGAAGGTCCTGAATCCCAGTGAAGATAACTTTGGAAACCACCATTTGAGAGGGATGGAGTCCAGTATGCCCGTCAGAAAGTAGTATGAGATCCCGTTAAAAACAGGAACAGGATGAAAACTCTTAAGGGAAGAGGCAGCTCTTGACCCAGCATTAAAGTTTAAGTTGGACCATAAGCAGCCTTTAGACAGGCCTGGGCTTTCAGGAGCAGGGGAATCGGCAAGGGGGGCGTCCCTGACGGTCCAGCCCTGTCGCCCCCCAGAGCTGATGCAGACAGAGTTCCACCACCTCCGCACCCTCAAGATCATGAGTGACGTCTACAGCCGGGGCATGATGGCCGACCTGCTCTTCGAGCAGCAGATGGTGGAGAAGCTGTTCCCCTGCTTGGATGAGCTCATCAGTATCCACAGCCAGTTCTTCCAGCGCATCCTCGAGCGGAAGAAGGACTCCCTGGTAGATAAAAGCGAGAAGAACTTTCTCATCAAGAGGATCGGGGACGTGCTTGTGCAGCAGGTGAGCGGGAGCAGGGCCCCGGGCACTTCTCGCTCACACAGACAGACAGACAGACAGACACACCCAAACACACACACACGCGCGCGCACAGGGGGCCGGTAGCCGTGTGTGCTCGTCCCGGCTGAACTGCCTGTGATCCCTGTGAGCTTGGGCAGGTGGTTCCATGTCTCCAGCCCTCAGTTTTCCTTTTCTGAGATTGAGGACAGTAGGTTTTCTCTTCTAATGCGGTTTTAAAACTTAAAAGCCATGCGTATATAAAGCGCCCAGTGTACATGCTAGGTGTGCCATGAAAGTCACCTTTCCTTGCTTTTGGGGGGTGCTGGCTTTGTGGTCGCTTAGAGCATCTCTGCTTCCAGCCTCTCTCTTGGCCGGGGTGGGGAAGGAAAGGCTCCCGTGAAGCTCTGGGATGAGGATCGCGTGCTGACCAGAGACAGTCCGCCTGGGATGGCTGCTAGCGTGTGCTGCAGGGACCACTTGCAGAAACTCGGAGGCCGCCCTGCGGTGAGCACAGCTTCAGATGAGGCAGCACTCACGTGGGGATGATGGAAGGGCCACACAGAACTGTTGGGACCACTGGCCCGAGCTAAGTAGGATAAATAGCCCTAGTTACCATGGCTGTTTCTGATGGCTTTCTGACTTACCAAGGCGACATTCTTACGATGGCTTCTTCATGAAAGACTCCTAGTGAGTCCCTTCCTTTTGTTGCTGTTTTTACGATGGGTGGGAGTCAGAACACGTTTTGCACAGCACGTGGCTCCTTCTGTGTTTATTATTTCTAAACATCCGTATCAGCTTTACTGACATATAAGTCATTAGCCGTGTGATCCACCCATGTAAAGTGTGCTGTTCAGTGGTGTTTAGTATATCCATGGATTTGAGCAGCCGCCACCAGGGCCAGTCATAGAGCATTTTTATCGTTATCACCCACACCCACTTCCCCGACTTCCCCAGCCCTAAGCAACCACTGACGCACTTTCTCTCTGGATTTGCCTGTTCTGGACATTGTATATAAATGGAATAAAACAGTATGTTGTTCTTAGTGATTGTACTTTTCATGTGTAAGTACCACATTTTATCCATTTATCCTTTGATGGACATGAGGATTAGTTCCCCTTGGTTGAGGGCTGTTGTGAACAACGCTGCTGGGAACACTCATATGCATGTTTTTGTGTGGACATGTTTTTATGGCCAGGAGTGGAACTGCTGGGTCATATGGTGACTGTGTGTTTAACTTCTTGAGGAACTGCCTGTCTTCCAAAGCTCCTGCACCATTTCACTCTTGTGGGGGAAGTTAGGAGGAAGATCCCCTGGAGGAGGAAATGGCAGCCCACTCCAGTATTCTAGTCTGGAGAATCCCACGGACAGAGGAGCCTGGCAGGCTGCAGTCCGTGGGGTTGCAGAGTCAGGCATGATTGAGCCACCAAGCATGAGCGCAATGAGGAAGCCCTCCTGGGTTATACGCACAGCCTGACCCTTGGCACACAGTGGTAACACGAGTTTAGCGCCCCGAGTGGTGGCGTAACCCCTGCTCACTTTCCTCCACAGTTCTCGGGGGAGAATGCCGAACGCTTAAAGAAGACATACGGCAAGTTTTGTGGGCAGCACAACCAGTCTGTGAACTACTTCAAAGACCTCCACACCAAAGACAAGCGCTTTCAGGCCTTTGTGAAGGTAGTGACCTGAAACGTGGAATTCCCCACCGTTGCCCAGAGCCTGGTGTCCCTGTGAGGTTTAGCCTTCCCCTTCCCCTCCGGGTCATTCCTAACATTCAGTCTCCTCCCTTGCAGAAGAAGATGAGCAGCTCGGTCGTTCGGAGGCTGGGAATCCCCGAGTGCATATTGCTTGTAACCCAGCGGATCACCAAATACCCGGTTTTGTTCCAGAGAATACTGCAGTGTACCAAAGGTGAGTCTGTCTTGAATCAGTCTTACCTGCCAGTGGCCCCTTCCCTGTCTGTCCAGCAGAGGCGCTGTAGAAGGACTCTTCCACGTCAAGGAGGACTAAAAGAGAAGCCTGTGTTTTCTCTTAAAAATGGTTTTCTCGAGTGCAAACGTGAGATGTCACGTCACCAGACTTAGAGTGAATGAGAGCGAGAAGGGGAGGAACCGCTCCGTGATCCCAGCCAAGAGCTCAGTGGCCCGAAGAGCTTGGCACGTGTCTCCCTGCTGGGAGAGGACACGCCCAGCTCACCTGCAAGTGCAGGGATCGCTACTGTTTCTCAGTTAATCGGTGCCTCCTGTTCTTCTCTCTGCTGCTCCTGCTCCGCCAGTTACATTAAGGATCGGCTGAAACAAAGACATAGGTTAAAAAACCAGAGGCACCTCTTCCTCCCTAAAGGTGTTGGATTCCTACCACTTTAGAAGGTAGCTTGTGGGACTTCCCTGGTGGTCCAGTGGCTAAGACTCCTCCCTCCGAGTGTAGGGGGCCCAAGTTTGATCCCTGGTCAGAGAACTAGATCCCACATGCGTCAGCTAAAGGTCCCAACTAAGACCTGGTGCAGCCAAATAAGTATTTATACATCTATGTATGTGTATACGGGGCTTCCCTGATGACTCAGATGGTAAAGAATCCACCTGCAACGCGAGAGACCTGGGTTCGATCCCTGGATGAGCAAGATACCCTGGAGAAGGGCATGGCAACCCACTCGAGTATCCTTGCCTGGAGAATCCCGTGGACAGAGGAGCCTGGCGGGCTACAGTCCATGGGGTCGCAGAGTCAGACAGGACTGAGCGACTAAGCACAGCACATATGTGTATAGAGAGAGAGAACGTAGCTCGTGAGTGCACGTAGTCTGTCCCACTGAAATGCCTAACCTTATTTAAACGCTGACCGAGCGGGAGGTCGGCACGTGGCTGCAGCGTGTTGGCCTCGCTCTGCCCATGTGCCCGCAGAGCACGGACCGTGCCGGGGCGGGGGCGGGGGGCGCACGGAGGCAGGGCGCCCTCCTCCGGCCCCGTCAGGACCGAGCGCTCCTCTCCTCCTCAGACAACGAGGCGGAGCAGCAGGACCTGACGCAGTCCTTGGGCATGGTGAAGGAAGTGATCAGCGCCGTGGACAGCAAGGTGGCAAGTTATGAAAAGAAGGTCCGTCTGAACGAGATCTACACGAAGACCGACAGCAAGTCAATCATGAGGATGAAGAGCGGCCAGATGTTCGCCAAGGAGGACCTGAGGCGGAAGAAGCTGGTGCGGGATGGGAGCGTGTTTCTGAAGAGCGCGACCGGGAGGCTGAAAGGTGAGCCCGCTCGCGCCTGACGCTCCACGCGCTCCAGGGGGAGCGGGCAGGGCGCAGGTGGCCCAGACCGCTGCCGGGACCCTCATCCAGGCGTTCCCCGGGAGCAGCCGCCGTCCAGTCCTCAGTTTTCTCAGAAAGGCCTGGGCTGAGGTGGCTTGCAAGCCACATCGAGCACAGTAAGGCAACAAGGATCTGGTGCAGTCGGGTGCGTGAGAAGATTTTTAAAGAGCAAAGAGTCAGCGTCATACTCAGATGCGAGCTCTTAAGGCAGATGTAGTCTCCCATGAGAGACGGGCGGCAAATTTGGGGTCGGGGTCTCTGGCAAAACCACTGCCAGGAGGGATGCACCATCAGTTGCACCATTCATAGGTTCTCTGAGGTTAAAAATACCTCATCAGTTGTTCCAAAGAAATGTTAGAGGATTCTCAGTTCCTGAGACCTTAGAGAAATGTTTAACTCACAACTCGACTTATTATTATACTTTGTTGTTCGCATCTTTTATTTTTCTCTAAGAAAATGAGATCATGAAGGATACTCATTTCCTGTTTGATCTTAGTTTTTTTTTTTTGTAATGATCAGCCCCATCAAGTTAAGGAAGTTAGGAGGTCTGTTCATTCATCTGTGCATCTGGTCTGTTGGGTTTTTTGTTTTGTTTCTTTAATAATTTTCCTCATCAAACCCATATCCTCTGGGTCTGTCTGGTAACTCTGACCTCACCAGTAGCCTTGAGTGCCCCCAGCCTGCCTCCCTGGCCTCAGTGAGCTGAGCACACAAAGCCGCCCCACTGGCAAAAAAAACCTCAGGAGTGAACTGGCCACGGGGTCGGTGATGCCGCAGGCTGCCGACAACGCCCAAGCGTCCTTAGCCAGCTCGGGTCTCCCCTTGCTCAGAGCGAGGCATGAAGGTGGATGACACAGGACACCCTGCTTAGAGGTTGGGCTCGGACTGCAGAGACGTTTAAAGAGGTTCTTGCCCTGCAGTGTGATGGCTGCTGGAACAGAGGTGTGAACTGGGGACAAGGAGAGGGGCCTTCGAGTCACGTTTTGAAGGATGGAGAGGAGGCAGCATGAGAGCTCAGACCCTGGGAGGGGCAGGCGGGCAGGCAGCGGAGCGAGGCAGGAAGTACAGCCAAAGCATGAGTCTGGGCCGGCTGGGGGTGGACACGAGCTCCGGGGGTGGCAGGGGCTCACTGCAGAGGGTGTGAGCAGGGCAGGGGTGGATCCAAGTGTGGGCGGTGCAGGGCTGCATAGGGCCGAGAAGCCCAGGGGGACCGCCGACCGAGCCGAGGACAGTCCCTGGTGCGGGGACCTGGGGGAGGGTCCTCGAGGCAGGGTCACTTCAGAGGGAAGAAACACCCCTTCCGGCCCCAGCCAGCTCTGCATCTCCCTACTCCATGGTGAATTGCATGGTCCCCAGGGCTCCCTGTGACACCCTGAGGCCACAGCCGGGGGCTCTGGCCTCCCCGCCGCCACCTGGTCATGAAGTGCCGGTCCTCTTGTGAGAGCAGGCTTCCTAGAGCGGCCACTGCCTGGAGCCAGCGCCGTGTTCCTTCTCTACACAGCAATTGATTCATTCGTTCCCGAAATAAAAAATAATCGGTTCCAGCTGTTGGAATGAAGTCGTGGTCCAAGCAGTGGCAGAATGATAGGCCCAAAACGTCTCCAGCGGTGAGAGAAGTTGGTTTCTAGTCATTTCCCCCCACGGTGAACTTGTGCCAAGGACAGCCAGTCCTGTGTCAAGTAACCCTTGCAAGGGGGTGGGATTGTTTTTCTCTGATCTGCTGACACTGATCACATAAACTTCAGGATCAAAACTGAAATTGAAACTTAATGTGTTGGGACCTTTTTTATTTATTTATTTTTGGCAGACACCTGAACTAGGTAAAAGTAAATTTTAAAAAAAACTAAGTTGTCAAAACTAATGGTAGTGCATGGAAAATTACTGTGGTCTGTGCTGAAAACTAGACCTCCCCAGGACTCCAGCCTGCTTGCTTCTGTTCCTCGTAGCTTTACCGTGAATTACACAGGGGGGCACCCCCGTCTTGGCAGAAGTGGTGGAAAAGTCCGGGAGGGGCCTGACCACCCAGGAGGGGGCTGCAGAAGTCAGCCTTTTGTTTTCTCCAGGGAGTCATAGGCGCCCCAGCCCCTTTCCTGGCTGAAGGTGGTGCCAACAGGGGCCAGCCCGTGAGGTCTCAGTTGACGACTCGCCTCCATGTCCCGCTTTGTCCTTAACGGAGTGCTGGGAAATGTCAGTGCATACTCTTCAAGAATTAGAGCAACTGTTGGTGGCATTCTTTTGATTTCTGGATCCAACTAGAGATGTTATTTTTCATTTATTTATTTATTTTGAACACCAAAAACATTTTGTATTGGTATATAGCCAATTAACAGTGTTGGAACAGTGTTTCAGGTGGACAGCAAAGGGACTCAACCTTACATGTATCCATTCTTTCCCAAACCCCTCCCATCCAGACTGGCACATCGCATTGAGCAGAGTTCCCTGTGCTAGACAGCAAGTCCGTGTTGGTTATTCATTGTAAATAGAGCGGTGTATGCATGACCTTCCTAACTGTCCGTTGTTCCCCCTGCCCCCCCCCCCCACCCCCGGCAAGCATAACCAGCTAGAGATGTTAATTTGCCTCTGGTTGCGTCTCAGTTGAGAAGAGCAGGCCATCTCCGTGGCACAGAGAGGTTGAGGTTGCTGGCGCCTTGTTGGGCTGAGCAGAGCGCGGTGCTTCATGTACTTGAGAAGGCCTGGGTGTTGGGAGGCCCCCTTGTCCTCCAGGGCCTGTGGAGGAAGCCTGCCTTTGATGATTAGGCTGAGATAGGCCTCTGCATCACATCCTGGTAGCCTTCTGTCTGCTGCCCCACGCCTTTCCCCTTACCGTGATCTGAAGCCGAGAAACACTGTGACCAAGAGTATTTTGTGGAATGTGTTGCTGTAGTCCTGCTTCCCAACTTTTATGCTTAAAAACCTTGCCTTGTGGGATCCGTCTTTCCAGCACTGAGTACTCAGACCTTCCCAGAACAGGGTTTTTGGTGATCAATCCCATTTCAAAATGCCTCTGAAAATTCTACTGGCCAGATGTGGACCCTGCAGAAGTGTCAGACCCTTGCCTGGGAGGAGCGTGATGAAGTGCAGTGTGGGCGAGCTGCTGGGTCATCATCTGGTCGGGTGCCCTGGAGGTGCTTCCCTGCTCACTGATGGGGAGTGATCGTGGTTCTCTCTCCTCCCCGCTCTGCAGAGGTTCAGGCGGTCCTGTTGACTGACATCTTGGTCTTCCTTCAAGAAAAAGACCAGAAGTACGTCTTTGCGTCATTGGTAAGCTGAGCTGCTCACCTCTACTGTTTGTAATTAACAGTGTTCACAACCGTGAGGGTCGGTGGTGAGTATAGTTCAGTGTTATTGCTCAGTCACCCTCTTAACACTGACCCAGGGCAGATTCCTCTGGGTCATTTCTCACATAGCCTTGCAGTTTTCTGCCCATCTTCCTCCCCCCAGTTGTTTTTCTGCTCCCTCAGAAACCTTCTGAGAGCCTTTGGCATTTGATCCAAAAAGAAATCTGTCATTGTAGTATTTCTCATGTATTATGTCTTACAAATCATTCTCCCTTATAACCTTGCCAACCAGAGTCTATGACAAAAACCAGAAAGGACTCGAACCTTGATAGCCTTAAATTTTTGTTTCCTTTTTGGAAATTTTCTGTTGGGTAAAATGCAGTGAAATAACGAGCTATTTGGTTTTTCTCCTAAATCTGCCATTGTTTGTTAAGCCATATGCTTTTTTTTTTTAAATTGGAAAGAAAAGCAAGGTATCATGTATTAACCCATATATTTGGAATCTAGAAGAATGGTACTGATGAACCTGTCTCAGGGCAGGAATAGAGATGCAGATGTAGAGAACGGACTTGTGGACACAGCAGGAGAAGTGGAGGGTGGGATGCATTGAGAGAGCAGCCCTGGCATATATACACCTCCGTGTGTAAGCCACAGGCTCTTCAAGGGCATCTAGTCCGTCCTGAGATGGAAGCTGTCTTAAGAGTTGGGTTGTTGCATCCACATCTTTCTAGCTATGCTCTCCCCACTTTCCAGGACCAGAAATCAACAGTGATCTCTCTGAAGAAGCTGATTGTGAGGGAAGTAGCGCACGAGGAGAAAGGCTTGTTCCTCATCAGTATGGGGATGAAGGACCCGGAGATGGTGGAAGTCCACGCCAGCTCCAAGGAGGAGCGCAACAGCTGGATTCAGATCATCCAGGACACGATCAACACCCTGTGAGTCTCAGCCCACCCTCCGGGATCGCGTGATGGACGGGCCGCCGTCAGGGTGACAGACCTCTGAGTGACGTGCTGTTCTGTTGTGGTTGTGTCAGGAACCGAGATGAAGATGAAGGAATTCCTAGTGAGAACGAGGAAGAAAAGAAGATGTTGGACACCAAGGCCCGGGAGTTAAAAGGTGAAGCTGCTGGAAGTGGCCCAAGGGCCTGTCAGGGCAGTGGGGTGCGAGGGGAAGCGGGCGCCGTCACACAGAACCCCTGCAGGTTTTCAGTCGATCCCAGAGCCAGCCAGACAAAAGAGAAGCCAGGTCAGAGCCGACACAGGTTCCTGTACAGTGAGTGTGGCCCGGGGGGGACGCGTCTGACACCAGATTGTGCGGATGTTGCTTCTCTGTCTCGGGGTCAGTGTCTGTGGGCCCTGGGGACAGGCTCGGTACTTTGTCACGGAAGAAGTTGCTGGAATTCACAGGCACATCTGAGATTAAAACAGGAAAGAGAGAAGAAAGGTGCTTGAGGGAAAGAATTTCCCAGTTAATACGTTTATCGGTCACCGCTGCCACGGTGCCCTGCGTTCCAAGGGTGTCACTTAGGGCGAAGTGTGCTTCTGGCTGAGGTTGGACCACTGTCTGTCGAGGCCTGCTGTCCTGTGCGGTCTCATCTCCGCCCCTGCAAGGCTCTACTCTAAGCAGTGAGAAAGCTGGGCCCGCCACAGCGGAGCAGCCCGGGGCCTCGAGCCCCGTCCCTGCAGAGCCGGGCTCTGCTGTCTGCCAAGCTGCTCGTGTGACTTCCGCTTTGGTGCTGCTGAGTGTTCTGAAAGAGGCGTGTGTGGTGCTCTGGAGAGAAGTAAGGCCCAGAGTCAAGTACATGTAGGCTTCCGAGGTGTTCAGTTCATTCTCTTTCAACATTGAGAGGGGAAAAAAAAAGATGGACAGATTTAGACTGGAGCCAGTGTCTCGTTGTTATCTCTTCTTGTGAGTAGGATGGCAGAGAGGAGAACCTCCTGTTTTTTAATTGAAGGATAATTGCTTTACAGTATCGTGTTGGTTTTCTGCCATGTACATGAGCATGAAGGGAACAGCCTTCTCTTCACACGCCTGATGCACCTGGCCAGGCACCGTGCTCGGGGCTGGAGATGCAGTGATTCCTGACCTGGAGTCCCTGCCCTGAGGGAGACCTACGTAGATGACAGGCCCTGCAGACCCCAGCCACATAGAGAGTGTGTGGGACCCGGGAATCCTGCCTGTAGTCAGTCTCACGGAGAAACTGACCCGTGACGCTACATCTGGGAAAAAAAAACTCACCAGATGAAGAACAGTTAGGTAGAAAATGAAAAAGGAATGAAGGTCTAGTGTGTCTGGGAGTCAGGGCTGAGTGATGGGAGACCAAGCCTGGAAGCCACCACATGTTGAAGTTCAAACGGGGACTGATACAGTTTTTGAGCAAAATGTAAACAAGTTTTTTAAATCAGTATTGATGCCAGTTGGGAGAATTGCTTGCAGGCGCTGGGAGAGCCCAGTAGGAGTGGGAACGCCAACTGGGGGAATCTCCGAAGTTGGGTGAGAAGTGGGCTTGGAGGCAGGGTGGAGGCGAGTGAGAAATGGGGAACCGCTGGGGGTGGTGGGACAGAGTGTGGAGAAAAACCTCCCCCAGCTCTCCAGCCTGGGTATCCGGGGGGTGAAGGTGCTGTTGACTGAGGAAGAGGCCGGGGCTCCAGGGAGGAGGTGGGTGGGGTGGGGGCAGGAGCAGAGAACAGAGGCTTCTGACCTGCAGAGAACTAGGCGTCTCAGTGGAGATGCCACTTGACAATGAGACTCAGCAGTCTGGTGCCCGAAAAGTGAGTAGGACTTGGATACCTTGTGTGAGTTAATGGGCTTCCCTGGTGGATCAGACAGTACAGAATCTGCCTGCAATGTGGAAGACTCAGGTCTGAGTCGGGAAGATCCCCAGAGAAGGGAATGACAGTCCACTCCATCCTGTGGACAGAGGAGCCTGACGGACTACAGTCCATGGAGTCGCAGAGTCGGCCACCACTGAGCGACTAACACTTGGAGTTGTCAGCCCGTGAGCGGTAACTGAAGCTGTGGGGGTGAATGAGATCCCCCAGAAGGAAGTGTGTAAGGGGGGAAAACAAGCCGGGGGGGGGGGGCCGGGGACCAAGCCTGTGCAGGTCTGTAACGTGCCAGAGACAGCGTGGGAGGAAGGGAGCCGGCCTAGCAGTGTCTGAGGGCCCGGGGCGGGGAACAGGTTTCCGTGTCGCTGGAGAAGAGATGGAAGGTTTGATTGGATGCAGGCGTGAAAGGTCCCCTTGGAGAGAGCAGAGCCAGGGAAGAGTGCAGGGGCTGAGCAATGAACAGGGCGATGGGAGAGTGGGACACAGCGCACACTTGCTACATCAGAAATTCCCAGGTTTGCTTCAAAAGACCCAGGGTAGTTTTCCAAGTAGACATGATGGATGAAAAATCGGATACTGCCCTCAGAGTGAAACGGGAAGGGGGCGTGGGGGAAGCTGTGTTCCTTGTTGTCCCAGGCGTTGCCACGAGGTGGCGTATGTGTCTCAGTCATCGCCTCTCGCTGACCTGTCAGATGACCAGATCCCTTCTCCAAACGCCCGCAGAGCAACTTCAGCAAAAGGACCAGCAGATCCTGCTCCTGCTGGAAGAGAAGGAGATGATTTTCCGGGACATGACTGAATGCAGCACGCCCTTGCCAGAGGACAGCTCCCCAACCCACAGCTGTAGAACCCTCTTCCGCTCCAACACAGAAGAGGCTCTCAAAGGAGGACCTTTAATGAAAAGTGCAATAAATGAAGGTAATTTACATTCAGCATCACCACCCCCAACCCCCGCCACAGTGGTTTGCACGCTAGCATTATCTACCAGTGAGTACTTTTTTTCGTTGTAAAATGAAGCACAAAATACAGAAAACAACCCAAAACGTGTTTTGCTTCAGTAAATTATTATCAAGTGAGCATCCTTATAACTATTTCCCAGGTCAAGAAATAAAATGTGGCCAGATCTCTAAAAGCCTTTCCACATCTCCTGTCCCCATCACAGCTCTCTCCTTCCCTCCCACAAGGCACAGGTATTATGACTTTTAGAGTAATGACTTAGGTTTCTTGATGGTTTTATGTGGCCATGTAAAATCATATATGTGGTTTTAGGCATGTTTATAGACACTGTGATTTAGTTGTGTCTGTGGTTTTTGATACTCATTTTTAAGGTTCTTCATTTACAGTCCTCCACCTGCCCCACCATCCCTTTCTTTTCCACACAGGTTATCCGTGAGCTTTTTGGCCTACAGGGTTCTCTTTTTGGACTTTATTCATGCAGTGGTTCTGTTCTTCTGCCTTCTGTTTCCTTCAGATGCTCAGCTGGGTTTGGGGGCTCAATTGCTCAGAGGTGAAACCCCTTTGGCAGGCTGTGTTCCTGTAGTGTTTCATCTGGAGCCACAAACTGTCTAGTTGTCTTTTTTATTATTTTTTGTAACATATAGGAGAAGCACGATAAAAGGATACATCTTTTTTTTCCCCCTATTATTTACCAATTTTCAAAATAGTGAACTGTCTTATGGTCATATTCTGAAAGTGACCAGTACTGTTAAAATATTAGTATAGACTCATGGATTTAAATATATCTGATGGGCTTTGAGCCATTGCAGTTCTTATCCTTATTAAGAAGGTTTAAAAGGGCCTCCCTCTCTGCCAACGTGCACCTTTTCGTGTTGCCTCTGAACCCTTTTGACATGACCCCAGCAGTCTTTGAGAGCCGCTCTGCTGTTTGCTCTGTTAAGATGTTCCGGGCTCATCTTGTTTTCTGCACATGTCTGGCATTAGCCTTTCTCTGAGAAGCTGTGGTTTCTTCTAGTGGGAAATGATGTCTCACGACCACTATCTAGGTGCTGGGGGTGGTTGTCACTGCTGGACTTTTCACTGTTAGTAGGTTGGGCCTTGTCAGTGGACCTCTTGGGTGGAAATGTGTATGTGGGGGGTGGTAATGATTACACTGGTATGTATTTAGTTCCGCTTGTGAACTGTGGTGTTTTTACTTGCGTGCTCAGCTGTGTCTGGCTCGTTGTGACCCCATGGGCTGTAGCCCTCCCGGCCCCCCGTCCAGGGGGTTATCCCGGCAAGAATACTGGTATGGAGTGCCATTTCCTTCTCCAGGGGGTCTTCCCAACCCAGGGATCAAACCTGTGTCTCCTACGTTGGCAGGTGGATTCTTTACCACCGAGCCACCTGGGAAGCCCTGTTTCTACTTTATCTCTTCTGTATTGCACCTGTATCTCTTTTCTTCCGTATTGTGAATCCTCATTCTTAAGGATACATTATAGAAATAAAGTATCCTATATTTACCCTAACACACAGGTACTAATATTACTATCACTAAATAGGACTGTTACATGCTATGCCCTCCCATCCCCCCGTTTGATCAGTGGTACACTGTCAGCTTCCAACCATTGTGTGTGACACTCCCCTTTTAAGACCTGTAGTCTTCGTTCTGCAGGGATCACCACCAGTTCTCATCAGCGACCCTCCAGTCATTTTGGATGTCTGAAGCTTACTCTTTAGTTCCTCCAAAAGATTCATGAGGATAATACCCACCAAGTCCTTGCATACTGGTGATAACTTGTGCCTTTATACTGGAAAGTCTGTTCTACTGGGTGTAAAATCCTTGGTTCCCAGTTTCTTCAAGTACCCTAATTCTCAGATGTGTTACTTATTTTTCTCTGACGTAAAACATTTCAGAGTCCAGTCATAATTTGATTTCCCCCATATGTAAGTCACATGCTCTTTGCCTTGACACCCACAGGATTCTTTTCCCTAGATCCAGGTTGTTTTACTAGAATGTGCCTTGGTGACAGTGATTCTGGAATGATGTTCTCAGGTTTACAGTGTTCTATTTTGATTTATAGTCGCAAACTTTTCAGATTTCAGAGATGTGTTCTTATAGCTCTCAGTGTTTTTCTTGTGCACTTGCTTTGATTTTCTTCCTCAAGAACTCCCACTATCTATATTATTGGATCACCTTTGACTGTCTTCAGCACTTCTTGCTTTCCCAGAGTGCTTTTTTTTATATCTTCATCTTTTAACATGTAAATATATCCTTTCACCTTCTGTTTTCTTAAGTCATTTTCTGTTGGGTTTACTTGCTCTCAGATTCTAGTTTAGTTTTCAGAAAGGGGTATTTTTTTTTTTTGTTTCTAGTTATTTGAGTTTTGCCACCTCCCTTCTGTGTCTCTTCATTCTGACTAGGTTCTTCCAAATCTTGAGTCTTTTTTTTTTTTTTAAACCTTGTTAGCTCACTTACTTTATGGACATGTCCTTCTGATGTGCTTTTATTATGTGTAGGGCAGCTGCACCCCTTTTTCTTTCTCTCTCTTTTTTCTTAACTTTGTGTGGGATTTGACTTTGATATTTTTCTGTCACTCATTTTCGTTTAAAAATTCCAATCCCAAAGAAAGGCACTGCCAAAGGATGTTCAAACTACCGTACAACTGCACTCCTCTCACACACTAGCAAAGTAATACTAAAAATTCTCCAAGCGAAGCTTCAATAGTATGTGAACCGAGAACTTCCAGATGTTCAAGCTGGATGTAGAAAACGCAGAGGAACCAGAGATCAAATTGCCAACATCTGTTGGATCATAGAAAAAGCAAGAGTTCCAGAAAAACATCCACTTCATTGACTACACCAAAGCCGTTGACTGTGTGGATCACAACAAACTGTGGAAAATTCTTAAAGAGATGGGAGCACTAGACCACCTGACCTGCCTCCGGTGAAATCTGTATGCAGGTCAAGGAGCAACAGTTAGAACCGGATGTAGAACAATGGACTGGTTCCAGATTGGGAAAGGAGTACATCAAGGCTGTGTATTGTCACCCTGCTTAAACTTCTATGCAGAGTACATCATGAGAAACACTGGGCTGGAGGAAGCCCAAGCTGGAATCAAGATTGCCGGNACTCAATGGACATGAGTTTGAGTAAACTCTGGGAGTTGGTGATGGACAGGGAAGCCTGGCATGCTGCAGTCCATGGGGTCACAAAGAGTCAGACAGAACTGAGTGACTGAACTGAACTGAAACTTTTAGGCTCAGATAGGTTTTTTCACTTCATGGACTCTTCTATTGTTCTCCTGCAGTGTTTTTAGAAGGTGACTGTGACTTTTCTTAGGAGATTCCTGGCCTCTCTTCTTCTCCCTTTTTCCACATGGACCTTCTTTTTCCTTCATCTCTCCTGCTCGATTTCTACTCCATATTCAGCTCCTTTCTATGGGACACTGCTGCTCTAGAAGAGAACCGTGGCTGGTTGGGGTTGATAATTCAGATGCTCAGACTTCCCTATCCCCCTGACCTCACTACAGGAGGGGCAGAAAGCCTGCCACTTTGCACTGCTGTTCTCAAACTGGCACACCTCACTTCCTGGGGATTTCTTTTTGGCTATTTCTGGTCTGACTGCAGGAGCCGTGCTCCTTCCAGTAAATTACTCTGCCTTCCCTGTATTGTGTTCACTCAGTCGTGTCCAACTCTTTGTGACCTTTTGGACTGTAGCATGCCAGGCTTCTCTGTCCATGGGGTTTTTCAGGCAAGGATACTGAAGTGGGCTGCCATTTCCTTCTCCAGCCTTTCCTGTACCCTTTCTACATTTCCTAGATCTCACGTGAATAAGGCTGGAGGTTTAACCTGTGCATTTCCAACAGATTCCAACTACAACACCTGTCCTTAGCTGAGAGCTTTCTGTGAGCAAAGGAAGTCTCGAGGTCTACTTTGGATTTTCTGATCATCTTCCCGGAGCATATAATGTGTTAATCAGGAGATTTTCTTTTTTCCATTGCAAGAGGATATGTCAGTGTTGCCTGTTTCCTCTCTTCCAGTGGAGATCCTGCAGGGTCTGGTGAGCGGCAGCCTAAGAGGCTCTCTTGGGCAGGTCGTCAGCAGCCCCTCGGAGCAGGAGGGCGTGGTCGGCCCCGTGTCCCTGCCCCGGAGAGCGGAGACCTTTGGAGGGTTTGACAGCCATCAGATGAACGCGTCAAAAGGTCAGTGGGGTGGGGGTGGTGTTTTTAATTGACTGTATTTATTTACTTTTGGCTGCTCTAGGTCATTGTCGCTGCACCGGCTTTTCTCTAGCTGCGGTGAGCTGGGGCTACCGTCTGGCTTTGGTGTGTGGGTTTCTCACTGTGGTTTCTACGGAGCACCGGCTCTAGGGCGCGCGGGCTTGGTAGTTGCAGCACACGGGCTTAGTTGCCCCGCAGCATGCGGGATCTTCCCGGATCAGGGATCGAACCCGAGTCTGTTGCGCTAGCAGGTGGATTCCTGGCAGAGAAGCCCCCAGGTCAGTGGTTTTGAGCTCATGTGCTCTTCTGGGCAGTCGTTCACCATCACAACGAAAAACCATCTGTGCTCCACCGCCTCTGTCCCACTTAGACAGTGAAGGTTTTAGTGAGGTCCTAAGTATGCAGCTGCTGGAACTCAGGGACCTCCATCTGCGTTGAGTTCATTTTGAGTAATAAGAGGTTTTCCTGGGATCTCAGCTAAGCTGTAGCAAAAGGGGTAATAAGACTGGTTTTTTCCTTTCTGCCCCTAGTTCTTTATCAGTAAAACTGTTTAATAATCATGTGGCTGCCCTTCTACTGGCATTACCAGGATTCAGAAGTATTTTGAACCTAAGCTGTGTATATAGTATTTTCTTGGCTAATCTGTTTTGCAACTTGAAAAAATACTTGTTTGTTTGTTTGTGTAGGAGGTGAGAAGGAGGAGGGAGACGATGGCCAGGACCTCAGGAGGACTGAGTCGGACAGCGGTCTGAAAAAGGTATTTCTTCCTAAGAGACGCTCCCTCCCTCCGTCCTCCTGGGCCCTTCTTCTAAGCTCATCATCTTGAAATTAGTCCAGTGATTGTGTTTTGGACGCCCAGTTTGCCCTGTTTATATCCTACATAATCTTGCGAGGAAAGCACTTTTCTAAACAAACAGCACCATTCTGAGCCCCATGTTCTTGGCCGTCGGGCCTCTCTGGTTCTGGACATCACGTTCCAGCACACAGCTCCGCCGGCTGGACTGGTTTCACTGAGAGCCTTGTTTAAACACACACAACCCCCACCTGAACTCATTGCAAGGCTTCCGCAACAGTTCAGCCTCACCTCTTCACTGCCCTAATGTAGAAAAGAATGAACACGGCACGTCACAGCATAACTTAGACACACACTGAATATAAATTTTGCCTCAATCTTCATTTTTTTTACATGCACTTTTTATTATTTTATAGGGTGGAAATGCTAACCTGGTATTTATGCTTAAAAGAAACAGTGAGGTAAGAACACTATGAGCTCTTTAAAGGAGTATGATTTTGTTGTAGTTGCTCGGTTGAGCCTGTTCATTTCTGCTTTGCTGTGTTGAGCAAACTGTGCTGTCGTCGGCCCCTGGGCATTGTCCTGGCAGTTTTTTGCCAGAAAATCGCTGCCTCCTAAACCAGCCTCTGCTCCTCTATCCTTGAGCAGCCCCTTGCTTTCTTTGAACGTGGGCCGTGAAGCTCCCACCGTGGCTTCTGTCCATCCACACACGCTGAGCAGAATTTGTCGCCAGGTTGGCTCTAACTTTAACCTGGCACCAAAAGCTGCAGTGTGAAGCATGACAGAGGAACTTGTGAGTGATTCTGCACAGTGACTCTCAAGTTGAGTTTTCTTCTCTGAGCACTGCTTCTGACTCCATATGTCACTCTAAAAAGTATCCCAGACGTCCCCTGGCTAGAGATCAGGTTCCCTGCCTTCCACTGACCCTGTAGGGTAACCCAGGTCTTTCACCGTCTCCCCGTCTCCTTGGGTTCCTCTGAGGAAATCCTCCTTGAAGGCTCCAAGCTCAGTTGAGTCTGCACGTGTGACACTGTCAGCAGGCTGGAGCTAGACCCGGGACAGGGAGGGGCGAGGGTATACCTCTCAGGTCGTGCTCTCTGCTTCTCCTGCTTTTCATAGAACACCTTAAAATCCCAGAGGGGCTTCGTTTCAGAATTTCAGATGCAGGGAATCGCTCCTTTTCCCCCTGAAACACAGAAGCTGTTTGTCGTCTGTGTTGGCCTGTTAGTCTGCACACTGTGACACATTGAAGAACCCTCTTCAGTGAATGAAGTAAACCTGCTCTCACACAGACTGTCCCACTCGTGTGCTGTTTAAAGAGCAGCCCTTTAGTTGTTTTTTTCCACTTGCCACCTCCCCCGCGCCCCACCCCACGCTGAGTGAGAAGAGTTGGGTAAGAGGTCTAGGAGACCAGTGGCTTCCAGGCATTCCGGCACGACCGCACACTACAGGTGCTCAGCCAGAGTCAGCTGGCCGGCTGGGACTTCTCCTCCTCTCTGTTAATTAAGAATAAACTTAAATGAGGGGCAGAAAGTATTCTCCGAAGAGCTAAGCCTGATAATTAAGTTTTTGTGTTTTCAACTAAGATAAAAGGAATACATGTTCGTGGTAGAAGATTGGAAAAACATCCAATAATGTAAAACAGGAAAACAAGTAAATATCCTACCACTGAGAAATAGCTACTATTATTAAATGGTGTTCTATTTTCAGCCTTTTCTTCCACAGGACATGTATTTATGTGTCTAAGTTTATGTGAGTGTGAATTGCATAAAAATAGTTTTGCACAATTTGTTTCAATACTCCCTGGAACTTCATATCCTGCTTTTTTTCTCTTAACCCTCGAGAAGCATTTTTCTGAGACGTTTGTACAAAACATGCTTTTTAACAGCTGTGTATTATTATGCTAGTTGCCATAATTTAATCTTTCCAATGGTCAATTCTTTCTCTGCTTTTTTGCTTTGTAAATGATGCAGCCAAGAGCATCCTCATACTTTTTTTTTTTTTTTTTTTATAAATGATGCAGCCAAGAGCAATCCTCATACTTTTTTTTTTTTTTTTTTGCAAGGCTATGATTATTTCCTCCGCATGCCATCCTCTTCCTAGAAAGGTTATACTGCACTCAACTCTGTCAGTACAAGAGGATTCATCCATTCTCATCATGCTTTCACCAACACTGGGAATTCTTTTTTAATTGACATTTTGTTGGCTTGAGAATTTCAAGTAGTTATTTCATTTTTGCATTTTTGTGACTTCAAATCATTTTTAATCATTTTTAATATGTTAAAGGTTGAATCATTTTTAATATGTTACATATTCGGCCATTTGTATTTCTTCTTTTGTAAATTGCAGGTTTATGTTCCTTGCCTGTTTTTCTACTAGAATGTTTTTGACTTTGCTTATGAATCTGAGAGCCTTGCTGGGGTCTGAGCTGACTGCTTGTTGATTCCTTTTGCAGCAGGTCATCCAGAGCGTCGTCCATCTCCACGAGCTCCTCAGCACTCTGCAGGTACGTGCCTTTTCTCCTTTGTCCCTTCACTTCCTAGTTGAGAGGGAGACCGACAAGGATGTGGCTGCCCTGGATCTTTGAGGTTTATACATATCTTACGGGTAAATACAGCCCTCAGACAAGAGAGACTGGCTATCATGATGAGGAAGATTCCAAAATGCAGTGGTTAAGGTCCCCTGGCAGAGGGAATGGCAACCTACTCCAGTATTCTTGCCTAGAGAACTCCATGGACAAAAGAGGCTGGTGGGCTTAGTCCTTGGGGTCAGAAAGAGACATGACCAAGCAACTTACACTCCACTACAGAGGCTCACTGATCTTCTAAGGCTAGAGCTGCCGAGCAGATGGTGGATGGCAGGTACCCAGAGCACAGTTAACAGCTGTGCCCCAGAGCGCAGGGGGTGCGGGCCTTCACAGAGGAGATGCTTCCAGTCTGGACGGCCTTTGTAGGTGTCCGACTTTTTGCACCAGTGGTAAAGAACACCCGCCTGTCAGTGCAGGAGACATAAGAGACCAGGGTCAATCCCTGAGTCGGGAAGATCCCCTGGAGAAGGAAATGGCTACCCATTCCAGTATTCTTGCCTGGAGAATCCCATGGACAAAGGAGCCTGGCAGGCTCCAGTCCATGGAGTTGCAGAGAGTGGGACACGACTGAGCACACATTCACACACAGTATCCTCAAATTCGGGTCCCTTCCTTTCTTAAAAGATCTGACCAATCCAGTTCATAACTCCTCCCACCTCCAAAGGCACACTCCACCCCAGACAAGGCTGCTGACTGCAAAATTGAAGTCTTGGCACCATTGACCTTCCCACTTGGTTGCTGCCCAGGGTTATCCTAAAGTACTTTTCCCAGAGCAGATTAGAAAGCAGGGGAGGGCGCCAGCCATGCTCCAGGCGGGCTAGGCACATGGTCCCCTCCTGTGGGCATCGTACTTTTCCCAGAGCAGCTTAGAAAGCAGGGGAGGGCGCCAGCCATGCTCCAGGCGGGCTAGGCACACGGTCCCCTCTTGTGGGCATCGTTCCCCCTCGTGCTCATCACCCCCTAGTGCCCATCGCCCCCTCGTGCATCTTCCCGCAGGGCGTGGTGCTGCAGCAGGACAGCTACATCGAGGACCAGAAGCTGCTGCTGAGCGAGCGGGCACTCACGCGGACGGCGTCGCGGCCCAGCTCCCTCATCGAGCAGGAGAAGCAGCGCAGCCTGGAGAAGCAGCGCCAGGACCTGGCCAACCTGCAGCGGCAGCAGGCGCAGCACCTGGAGGAGAAGCGGCGGCACGAGCGCGAGTGGGAGGCCCGCGAGAGGGCGCTGACGGAGCGCGAGGCGCGCCTGGCGCAGCGCGAGGACGAGCTTCGGCGCGGCCGCCAGGACCTGGAGCACGAGCGCGACGGGCTGCAGCAGCGCAAGGCCGCCTACCAGGGCGACCTGGAGCGCCTGCGCGCCGCCCAGCGGCTGCTCGAGCGCGAGCAGGAGCAGCTCCGGCGGGACTCGGAGCGGCTCAGCCAGGTGCCGGCGCGGGCCGGGTGTGGGGGCGGAGGGAGGCCCGGCAGGGCCTGGGTGTGCGTACACACCGCTGATCAGCATTGTGGTGCAGCAGAAACTAACCGCAGGCTAAAGCAGTTATCCTCCAATTAAAACATCCCCCTCAGTGTGCCCAGCATGGAGGAGAGTAGGCAGAGAGAATATTCAGTGTACAAAGGCCGACTTTATAGAATCTGTTTGTGCATCCGCAGAGGGGCAGGTGAGGACTTGAGTCTTTTTCTCCTTTTTGTCTCAGGGGTTGAGACCTGCATGTAAGTTTGGAGTTTGGCCAGGCCAGTGAAGGGAGGTACCTGGCCCTTGCCCTCGGCCTGGCCAGTTTAGGCTGGGGTAGTCTCAGTGTCTGTGAGGGTGGCGGTCAGCCATCCAGGATTTGGGGAGCAACCCCTCTGTGCCACGTGAGAAATTAGAACCTAAAGGACCTTGTAGCTGAACAGAGAGAACGCACTGCAGGCAGCAGGCAGCCGGTGCCTGAGCTCGGCGAGCAGTGAGGGCTCTGATGCCCGGCTCAGTGAGAGAGTGCACGCGTGGGGCCAGTGGACATCAGCTCCAGGGACTGGCCCAGCCCATCTGGGCTCTGCTTCATCCCGATGCGTCTCGCCACTGTGGATGAAGCCTTTTGCTGCAGCCGCTGCTGATTCAGGAAGGCCTTCCACCTGTGGGGAGCACACCGCCGCCCCCCCCCCCCCCCCCCCCCNCCCCCCCCCCCGAGTTTGTTATAGTGGTAGTCCCTGGCGCTTCTAGAGCAGGAAGCCAGAGCCTCCTGGGTGTCTTGATACCCATGTTGCCATGCGTTTGCTCAGTTGACCTTCAACAGTGAAGGAAAAGGACCCTGACATCTTCCAGAGGCGTGGCAGTTAGGCTTCGTGCAGAGGTTTCCAGGTGTGTAGGGGGGCAGCCAGGGGCCGGGCCGTGCTTCGTGTGACGCAAGAATGGGTTCCCCAGGGAAGGCTGCCCAGAGAACACAGAGTCTATCTCTTTGATCTTCAGTTTGACCTTTGACCAGGATCTTGGTGTAAGCACGTCTCCACCTGCCGTCTAACCTAAACAGACCTCTCTAATCTCTCAGCCCTGAAATAATTATCCACTCCTGCATGTAAGTCAGTCACTGGATAAGCAGCTCTTCCTGCCTCTCCAGGGGATGGGAGTTGTGAGCTGCCTCATTGAAGGTGCTATTCATTCATTACAGTGTTAATAATAGAAGTAGTCAGGGTATGAAGATGGTCATTTAGCACTTCCGCAGATACTACAGGGGGTGGGGAACGGAACTGAGAAGTTCAGGGTATTTCAGCTTCTCGAGAGTCCAAGGCAGTGAGTGCGCATGGGGCTGACACACCAGCATCCCCAGGGACCTTGTGCAGTGTTCCCTGAGCAGTCGCTGAGGACGCTGCCGGTCCCCCAGGTGACATCCCTCTCTCCACCATGTACAGGTTTCGTATCAAAACACCAAGCTGCTGCGGATCCCATCCTTCTCTCCGAACCCCGAGGAGACCCCCTCTCCACCTGCACCTTCAATAGCCAAATCAGGGTCATTGGACTCAGAACTCTCGGTGTCCCCCAAAAGGAACAGCATGTCTCGGACACACAAAGAGAAGGGGCCTTTTCACATGCTGGGTTCCGCCAGCCAGACAAACAGGGCGCCAGAGTCTCAGAGCCAGACCCCAGTGTCCACGTCCACGTCCACCCGCCTGTTCGGGTTAGCTAAGCCAAAGGAAAAGAAGGAGAAAAAGAAGAAGGGCAAAGGAAGCCGCTCACAGCCCGGGGGTGAGTCACACACCAGGTCTCCCCTGGCCACGCCGCCCCTGGGGGCTTTAGCAGCACAGGAGGGGTCAAAAAGAGGTGCCTGCCTTTCAGGCGTGTAGAAGCTGACCCGCATACGTCTCACCAAACCCACTGGTTCTGCCCACAGAGGGCTGTTGGAGCTTACGCTGAGAACTGACATTCAGGGAGCCTTTAGGAAGCCACTCTGCGTGGCGTGTGTGCAGAGTAGAGCGCGGGCTCCTTTCTCACACTCACTGTCCGGACGAGGAGCGGAAACTCAGCGACTCGGTTACAGTCCTCACTGCCTTGCGGCTGCTCCAGTAATAAGCTGCTTCAATGGAAAGCTGAATTTGTTGCAATCTCATAAGATTCTTAACCAGTCACTAACTTTTTTGTTTAAAGACACAAGTTGAGATACTTGTATAAAGAAATTTCTACTGTAAAGGAGGATCACTTTTTATTAAAGATTCTATATATTCTCATGCAAGTACTTTCCCTTACCATGTAAACATATTTAAACGTAAAAGATGCAAATTGCTTATGTGCTATTGTAAAGTTTAAAGGTTTACATAGCATTTCAAAAAGCAATAATACTGACACGGTTTTCTCAAAGACCCAGGGGAAAAAAGAAAAATAATGTACTAATAGGTGCTTGGTGAGCCTTTTCCGAGGGCAGCTTTAATCCTGCAGGAGATACAAGGCCGGTGTTTTTGAGCCCAGACACCCAGGAACCCTGCAGCTCAGGGTTAGCTGAGTGCCTGCCAGTGCCGGGCACACGATCAGACCACACAACACAAGGTTGAGTCCTTCTCATCAGGATTGGCTTTCCCCTTCTGTGTGGGAGGGTGTAGAGAAATCCCAGTTTCCAGGCTTTGTTTTCTGTCGAGTTCAAGGATCTGTAGACACACGGGACATCATTGAGGACCTCATTCACTATATCAGTGAGGGGGGCACCACAGCAGAAGTCATCGCCCACCTGCCCAGCATCTGTTTGCATCCTGGGGGACTTGTGTTTAGGGAAGACAGGACAGAATTTACCAATGAAAAGACCAGTTTTGTCTGAATTTCTTTTTCCCTCTTGGCTTCCTTTTTCCAGACGGCCCTGCTTCGGAGGTACCCGCTGAGGGGGAGGAGATTTTCTGCTGACCGGTCCCGCTGCTGTCCTGTATGGTGACCGTTCACCCCCGCCATCCTGTGCGCACTGCCCCCCACCGACGCCCGTGCCTGGCAGCCCTCCCCGCTGCCCCAGGGCCTGGGCCCGAGGGACACACGGTCCTGGGGGTCAGGGTGGGGAAGGAGGCCCAGGATTGCAACCCAACCGCTGGCCAGCCCTGCTGAGGTCACATTACAATGAGGATAGTGGCCCCGGAAGTCCAGGGGATGGTTGTGACATGTCAGGAATGCCTCAAGGCCGAGAGGGTGTTTGCGAATGTGGTCTGAAGCTCTGGGACAGAACCAAAAATCAAACCGCAGGTAGTTTGCGCTTCATCTGAATGCATACAGTACCCGTCTGTATAGACACGTGGAATACCACGGACCGTGCATCGTCTGCACCAGACGCCTGGCGGGCTCAGCTCAGCTCTGCTCAAGGGCGCTACCCCACCACCACTCCGGGGGGTGTGCTCTGAGTCTCATCCAGCATTCCCCCCGGGCTGTCTCCTGGCAAACCTACCCGTGCACACTTCACACCCACTGCTGTGTGTATTTCTCACTCAGAAGGGACGGCAAACAGTTGTGAATACCAGTGAAAGAAGGCTGGATGTCTTTAAAAAGCAAATGATCCTGAAACACCTTGATTTTGGTGGTTCAGTCACTTTGGGGGGAAAAAAAAAGTAATGTCATCAGGTCTAAAAGAAATCCTATATTGGCTTTCCAAGATGTTTGCTCATGGATTCTGGGCACAGATGAAGTGGAGAGGTTACCTCCCAGTCACCCCTGCAGAGTGACACTTTCCGGTCATCACTGGCCATTCACATGTGACCGCGACCCCCTGGCTGTCCCCCTAGGGCCTCTCAGTGGCTCCCTAGGGAAGCTGTTTTTGCCTGCGCCCCCGCCAGGGGAAAGGGTGGCCCCCCGGCGCTCCTCTGCCTGCCCTGGGGCCACCTGCCTCTTCCTCCGGGGTGGGGTGACCGCCCTATCCTAGGCAATTGGCTGAAAAGCAGGTGCAGGTAGGCGCGTTGGGGGTATGAAGTGGTTCCCTCCAGTTCAGACCAGGAGACAAGCTGGTCCCGAAGGTATGGCCTGGAAGGGTCTCCTTCTGTCAGGAGGCCTGGCACAATTTTGATTTCTCCAAGTTTTGCAGTCTAAAGTTCTGATGGTTATTATATTCTGTCCCTTGAAGATGCCACAAGTGCTGTCTGCATGTTCTTTTTCCTTCTCTCTTTTTTTCTGTGTTTCCATCTGTATTCCTGGAGGCTCGTCACCAGCCGGCCAGTGCAGAGTCTTTCCCCATGAGGCCCCCGCACCTGCCACGCTTGTTACCTGCCTCGTGGTGGGGGGAGACCCTGGAAAATTCTGTGCTTCCTATGTGGCCTTTGATTCCTGCCTTTCGCCCCTCAGGAGCATAGGTCTTTGAACTTAACCTTTCTAAAAACAAACAGATCTGTACCTTGGTGCTTGTTGATGAATTGCAAGCTGGCCTTGCAGATGGAGATATCTATCTTTCAGTTTATTTGAAAGAGGTCTGGTTTAAAAGTTTTAGCTTTAGATTTGTTTTATTTATTTGTGTGCCGGGTGCGTGTGTGTGTGTGTCCGTGTGTGTGCGTATGTGCGTGTTAAGGGTGAACACACCAGCTCAACGGTTTTGACTGTGTCCGGTCAGGCAGCCTGCGCTGCATCCTCACTCCTCCAGGTCTGTCAAAGTGCCTTGAAGGCCCAAAGGAAAATTAAGGATGGCGGGTGAAGTCCCTTTCCTTCCCTCCTCCCACCCCAACCTCATTCTTTGACCAAGAGAGGTCTTCTTCCTTGCTTGAGAGTTAAAAAAAACTTGCCACCCATGGGTTCCATGTGCCTCGTTTTTATCACGGCAATCTCTTACCCTTCAGAAATGCGTTGAGAACCAGCTGATCTTCTACTGAACCTCGATATGCGCCCCCATCCCCATCCCCTAACCAAAGACCCTAAACATTGGAAGGTTAGGTTGTCTCCGCTGCCGATCCCTGCAGCTCCAAGGATGGCTGGCCTGCTGTGGCCCTGCTTAGACCCCGGGGAGCTCGGCGCTCTGTCCTTGTCACTGGTTTGGGATCCCCGTCCCGCAGAGAGCGGCTTTGCTGGAAGAAGGGGCCGGTGAGCGGGGACCTGCGTCCTCCTGGCGTCTGTGTAGGCCCGGCGCCCCTGGCTCTGGGCGTGAAGCCGGCGCTCGGTGCTGGCGGCCTTGCCCTCACACAGGCTCTGCACCAGAGGCGCCCGGACGGTTTCTGGCCGTCGCCACACAGCTGGGTTTCAGTTTCAAAGTGTCCTTCATTCCCACCTAGTTGTGAAGTTGAGGTTGCCTTGGCTGTTTGGTGGTAGTTTTCTGAAACGATTAGCCCTCCGCCTGCACCCCACAACTTAAAAAATAACCTGGTCGGGTTGTGCTTGGACAGGTTTCAAATCTGAATCCGAGGGCGTCTCCCCCGACCCAGACCTGTGCTTCTCTGTGCCTTGGCCCCCCTTCCCGTCCGGTGTAGGGTTTGGGGAGCCACCTAGGATTCCTGTTGCTCCTGCTTTTGCTTCAGACCTCGAAGCCGTCTCCGACCTCGAGGCCTGACCTGGTTGCTGCGGTTTCTTTCCTGTGAGAAGGGGCTGCCTCTCCGGGTGACTCAGACTCTGCTCTCCGCAGCGTCTGAAGGCGAGCTTCTCAGCTTAGGGAATCAGGGGCCTGACCTCCCTTGTGTTTAGGTTTTGGGGGGCAGATGGAGACGCCACCCAGGGTCCCCAGGTTCCCAGAATCTCGTGAGTTCACCTGGAAGGAGGCTGCGCCTTCTCTCGGGACTCCCGTCATCTCAGCGGTCGCTGTCCTAGTCTGGCGACGGGCGACATGTGCACTTTAAACGCTCCCCACGGTTGGCTCCAACGCGACAATCAGCTATTGACTGTTTTCTTTGAAAACGGAGAGGCCTAAGAGCAGCCCAGTTGCCGTCACTCAGCCTTTACCAACATCCCCCTCTGCCGCCACGAGAGCTGTCTGTGGGAAGGCGCTCCCTAATGAGGTTTCAGTTTTTATTTGGAAAGGTACGAACCTACCTTTTATCCTCTCACGTCTCAGGGTAATACCACTAAAAGTTGTTCTTTGCGGACATTCTCCTGTTACTTGTTGTCTTCCCAAGCCCCTAGTTTCAGCGGTAGGGAGCACGCGCTGTAAGACCCTTGGGGTTTGTTGCCCCTTTGTTTGGAGGGTGGGTGTTAGTGTGTAGGAGTTTATAAACAGGCCCCACCTTAGCTAAAAGGTAGCACCATTAGCCTTAGGGCCAGACCTCCAACCCGGAAGGTGTGGTTCACAGAAGTACTCTGTAATTCATTCATCAGACCCCAAGGTTCTTTTTTCCACAGCCAGTTCTTGCTCCCGAGGATCTGTTGTCAGCTTGGAGCTGTGGGTGTTGATGCAGCGTTGATGGGGGGCCCGGTGTGTCCCGTGGACGACCAGGCCCAGGGGCTGGTGGGGGGGGGAAGTTGGGAGAAACGGACTGGACAGTGGGCTTCAGCAGCCTATAAAGAGGGTGGTTCGAATGGGACCCCAGCCACTGCCAAGGGCTCTGGACATGCTTGGACTGCAGACGCCCAGAAAGAACCCTCCGTGTCGCGGTGGCAGGGACCAAGGCACAGTGCCGCCATCCCGCAGCAGGGCCATGGGACATGCTCACCGGCGGCCCCGGGTCACAGCTCCATCTGGCGCCGCTGCTCCGACCTACCCTCAGAGACAAGAAGACCAGGGGTTCGTTTTGGTTGGCTTCTTCATTTTCTTTTTTGCAGTGTAGCGTAACATTCCTAGTTAACCAGCGCTTTGAAATCTACTGCCTGCTGGCCAGGTTTTAAGACAAGAAGTCTTTCAGTGCTGCCATAAGAGGGAAAAAGACAAAAAAAAAACACAAAGGCTTCTTTCCATGTACCGATCAAATTTAATTTGTCAGAAGCTTAGCTGGCCTTGAGTTCCTTCTCCATCTTGCGAAGGTTTAATTAAAGACGGGCAGACCCAGCTGGCTGACGTGTCTCCTGCCGCAGACAGCGGCCGCCTGCTCCGGACCCCCGGGTCGCGCCGAGCCTCTGCTCACCCCGCCCTCCACCGCCCAGGCCGCCCCGGGCTCCGGGGCCTTGATGGGCCACCGCCGTCACAGTTCCGTCTGAGGTTCCCGGCATGTCACCCCACCTGCCACGCAGGACACCCCAGGATGTGCAGGAGGGCGGTTCCCAGACACCTGATACCTCTGCTGTCCTTTTGTCGTTTTCAGATGCTAAATGGACATTTCTGTGCATTTATTTCTATTAAATAAAGAGGGGTTAAAACCCAGATGCTGTATATTAATTTGTAATTATGTATAAAGTAAAAGCAGTTTTAAACTGTAAAGGTTGTTGTTTTCTTTTTTTTTTCAGTGTGTTTCCTGGAATTTTGCCACAACATACTGGCTTTGTATTTTATTTATCTTCCTTTCTAGTTATCAGCTTCAGACCCTTGTAAAGCCCCCCTCCACCTTCCAAAAAAGAAATAATAATAATAAATGTCCTTTAAGTCTCGATGGTGACTCTGATTTATTCCTGTCGGGGTGGGTCTCCTGGAGTGAGTCAGTCCCAGGGTACTCCGGTTCCGGTGAAGGGCCCGCCCCCCTCCTGGCTGTGAGCCTTCGGCCCAGTGAAGCCTTCTTTCTGTACCTCCGGGAAGGACCGCCCCAGAGCACAAAGCGGTTCCTGGGGAGCTCAAGTCCTCCAGAGCCAGACCCTAGCCTGGAGGCTCCAAGAGTCAGAACCATTCCCCTCAGATAAGTGCGGTGAGAAACTTCCTTGTCACAGATTCTGCTGCTGTAGATCCTACTACGTAAAAAGGATGAATGTCAGTTTACCTCTCTCTGCTGACTTTTTTCCAGCCTGTCCCACCCCCAAACAAGGCAATTGCCAAAAAAACGAATTCAGGGAGAAGAATCTCGTTTGCATGTAGCTCCTCACGGATTTGCTGTGTCTGGTCCTCAGAAATTGCTGGAATGCACGGTAGGATCTGCTCTTCCTGACCCTAACCCGCCTGCAGGCGCCTCTGCTGCCCTTCCTGCATTGCTGGTGCCTCCCGGAGCCGGGCCTGCCCTGCTGTCCCAGCGAGAGGCCCCGGGTGCAGCTGGTCGCCCAGTGTGATGCGGAAAACAGAATCAGCCCGGATTCCCAGCTCTCTGCTCCCAAGCTCCCCGCCCCTCCCCACGCAGCGACGGCCGACAAGGAAGTCCTGCCGGCTTGCCAAGCGCCTTCTCTCGTTCCTTCTAAAGAGTCCTGCAGCCCTGGCAATAGCTGCCGCCCCAGAAGCCAGGGAACAGTGGTCCCTTCTCTCCGCCACCCTCCCTTGGCCATCAGAGCAGCTGTGGCGTCTGCACGCCCCCAGCAGGGTGGGAGAGTGGTTCCCACGGCCCCCGCCAGCTCCTAGCTTGGGTCTGAGCCAAGGACAGGCTCCCGTCGCCTGGGAGGCAGGAGAGGGGAGGAGGCACCATCCTTTGTTCCAGGAGAAGCCAGAGGCACAAAGCTGGGCGGGCTCGGGCGCAGGGTCCCCGCCTGCTCCTGAAGGAGAAGGGGCCACTTCTGCCCAAGGACCCGCACCCCACTCAAAGGGAAACCCAGCCGTGCACCCAGGAAGCGAATGTGCTTACTGTTGCCGCAGGATAGAGACACAGTCATGAACGAAGCCAGCTAGCCGGAGGAGAGCCTGCTGGGCAGGGAGGAACAGGCCCCGGTTTTGTTACTTCCTTGGAACCGGGAATAGAAGCAGATCTGAGGTCAAAAAGAGGATCAGAGTAGCTTCCCTGGTGGCTCAGTGGTCAAGAATCCGCCTGCCAACACAGGAGATGCGGGTTCGTCCTGTCCCTGGTCTGGGAAGATCCCACCTGCCGCGGAGCAACCAGTGAGCCCGCGCGCCCCGAACATTGAGCCTGCGCTCTAGAGCCTGGGGACCGCGACTGCTGAGCCCACGTGCCACAGCGGCTGGAGCCCATTTTTGCCTGGAGCCCGTGCTCCACAAGAAAAGCCAGGGCAGTAAGTGCACACACTGCACCTCCGCTCACCACAACCAGAGCCAGCCTCTGCAGCTACGAAGACCAAGCACAGCCAAAAACTTTCATTAAAAATCCGAAAGTTCCCTCTGTCACCACATTCCTGGCTCGGCCTGGGGCCACGGCCACCTTCCCAGCAAGTCCCCCTGCCTCCCCAGCCACCCAGCCCGTTCCAGACTTCTTGGGAAGTTCCTTCTTGGGCTTCCCTGGTGGCTGGGTGAAGAATCTTCCTGCAGTGCAGGAGAAGTGGGTTGGATCCCTGGGTTGAGCAAATGCCCCTGGAGAAGGGCACTCACCCCAGTATTCTTGCTTGGAGAATTTGCGCACCTCCCTCCCAGGACCACCCCCATCCCCCCTCCACCCCCGCATTCCTTCAGTGGCCTCAGGTCACGGCCAGAAGGTGGCCCAGAGGTGGCAGAACGATCCAGGTGGACCTCGTCCTCCTCGGGGGCCCTGAGAGGAGTCTGCAGTGGACAGGGGTGGAAGCTGGTGCACCCCAGACTTGGCGGCTGTGGGCCCCACCGGCCTCCCAAGTCCTTCGGTGTCCCAGTTAACCCGGGCTGTCCCCAGGTCCCTCTGGACTCTCGTCATCACTTCCTCACACAGCTGCGAACAGTCCCACTCAGGTTTGGGCTGCTCCTCCGTCCAGCCACCTTGAGAGACTTCCTTTCTTCCTGGGAGAGCATCCCTGGACCCTCGGGATGGAGGTTGGAGGAGGGGAGGGGAGAGGGACCCGAGAAAGGGAAGGGCCTTGAGTGGCGGGACTCGGGGCGAGGGAGCGGCAGGCCGAGGGAGCAGGCCGGCTCTGCAGGGCCTCCGAGAACCAGCCTGCTTCTGTCGGCCCATCCCCTCCAGGGCCTTGAATTTCCCACCCCACCCCCACAGCCTCAGCGGTAGAGCTGGGCGGTTGCCTGGACAACCGGGCCCCCAGCCTGGGGGCATCTGCATCCAGGGGAGGGGGGCCCCAGTCACCTGAAACAATGCTCTTTCCACCCGCAGGAGCCTGGCAGCTGTGAGGAGCTGGGGACAGGGCCAGGCTGGGGTCCAGCAAGCACCATTGAGGGGACGTGGACAGAGTCTGGGGGCCACAGGGTGAGTGGGAGAACCACAGACTGCAGAGTCGGGGCTCAACACCCAGTCTCGCCATCTGATGGCCGAATAACCTGGGACAAGTTACTGGTCCTGTCTGCCCCCGTTCCCTCCTCCATGCGGCAGCAGCCAGGGTGCCGCTCACAGACTTGCTGTGACGATTCCACAAGAGGTTAGATGCTGGTCCCCAGGCCTGGTGCCTGAGCCCTGAGCTGTCACACGTGGCTGCAGGAGGAGCCTGTCCCAGCAGCTGCTGCACCGGAATCCCGTCCCTACCCCTGTCTCCACATCTGAAGGTGAGCACCCGGCGGCAGAGACCACCTTCCCATCACCCAGCCCCAGCGCCCTGCGCACGGTGTGGCTCAGTGCTCCTCGTCTCTGGGCTTCTGGTTTGGAACACCTGTCCCCCCTTTCGTCATTTGGCTCAGGTGAACGGTCACTTCCTAGAGGAAGCCTTCCGGGACGGCCAGGGCAAGCCCAGCCGCTCCTTCCTGCCTGTCCCTTAGCATCCAGAACCCACCTGCCTTAGAACTGTTTGGCGCCTGGAATCACTGGCCTTAGGCTAGCGTCCCCTCCGCCTGGCTCGGGCCAGGCAAGCGCAAGAAGCCAGGTCTGGAAATAGATCCCCTCGAGTTCATGCCCCGGTGCCCACTCCTGTGTGTCCTGAGCCAACATGCTTAACCTCTCTGAGTGCAATTTCTTTGTCTGTAAAACGGGCATGAAGGTACCTTCCCCCATCCTTTTATTGAAAAAAAAAAAAACAAACCCTGCATGTTCTTTCTTTTTACTTGGCAGGAAGGGACAAGGTAAAGGCGTGGATCTTAGGATGTGCAGACATGTGGGCCTAGTTGGAAGTATTTACTGTGATGCCAGGGCTCCCATAGTGTTTCAGGTTCTTTTGGGTCAAAGAAACTTGGCCAGTGTCTCGTTTTTGCTTTGGATGACCTTCCCGTGGAAGGCCCAAGAGCGAGGGGCACTCACTGGCTGGAGAGCCACAGATCTCATACCCTTGATGCCTCAGTGGGGTCCGGGTCCCCCGTGTGGGGATGATCACACCAAGGCTCATGGAATTAGACCAGCCCAGCCAGAGCCGGCATCAGGTCCATCCTGCCAACATGCAGATACCAGGTTCTCCCTTAAGCCCAAGCTCCTCAAACCAGTCTTTAGATCCCTGCGTTTGAACTATCTGCCTGTTAAAAATGCATCTGGACCTAACCCAGGTTTAATGACTCAGAGGAGGAAGCTGGGGAATTTGCAGGGTTCATGAAATCCCTGGGGACAGCTCAAGAGGCCCCGGGTGCACCCCCAGACTCCCCCCCACCCAGGAGAGGTAAGTGTGGGGAAAGGGAGGTGAAGAAAGAAGCTCCCATATCCCACCCCTTGGAGCAGTGAGGTCCTCTCCACTCTACAAACAGAACTTACCTCCATGGAATCCCGCTCTTGTTCTGCAGGTAATTCTCCATGAACATTCTGGCTGTTGACGAGTCTGTTGACAAATCATGGGAGCTGGTACACAACCCTGGGCTGAAGAGACGGGCTTCAGTCTCTCCATCTGCAAGGTGGGACCCCTACGACCCCGCCGGGCTGCTGAGATGACAGGCAGCACAGCATCACTGCCGGAGATTCCTCCCCCTTGTGTGCGCCGACCTTGTCACTGGAGGGCTTGGTGGCCCTGAATGTGTTACATCCACAAAGCAGGTGGTTGGACTAGAGCCAGGCTCTTGGCCTTGCGCACATTGGACTCATCAGCAGGTGGGTGGGGGACCGCCCTGCCCAGAACCTTGGGGGTAGGGGTCTGGACACCCCGACATTTGAGCAGTTCCAGTTGGTTCCTACATGCGGCTGATATTGAGAGGCTCGTTGATCCTCAAGCTTGATCCCAGAGATCAGCTCTGTTCTGCAGACGAGGCTACCTCCCTGGGCATCTCCACGAGCCCCTGAGATGGATAGAGCTGGCTCTGTCTCTGCTGGGAGCCTAAGCTTTGAGCAGCCGGTGCTCCAGGCCTGAAGGGTGACAGCTCTCCCCTTGGGCCTTTGACTCCCGAAAGAGGCTGCCAAGGGCTTCCCTGGCGGCTCCGCAGTAAAGACTCTGCCTGCAATGCAGGAGACTCAGGTTTGATCCCTAGGTCGGAAGACTGATTTGGAGGAGGAAATGGCAACCCACTCCAGTATTCTTGCCTGGAGAATCCCATGGACAGAGGAGCCTGGCGGGCTACAGTCCACGGGGTTGCACCGAGCTGGGCACAGCTCACAAACAGGCTGGGGGGTAAACGCAAGGGAGCAGGAGGCAGAAGCTCTTCCCTGGGGAGCACAGCCCCAGGGCGCCATCAGGGGGCCTCCAGAAGTCCTGAAAGTGAGGGGCAGAGAAGACAGCGCACCCAGCCCTCTCTGGGGGCTGAGTCAGG